GATACATTTCAGCCCCCATTTGGAATTTACTTAAGCATTGCAAATAGGCAGCGAGCGTTAGATGCTCCAATGGGTGGATAAAGTGTTGTTGTTAAATACTTCTTTCCAGGACATTCGATTAAAGGACTGTACCAAATCTCTGCCACATAAGGATGTAATGTATAATGTAAAGGGATTACAGATGTTATTATTCCTATACAAGCCATTAGCTCATTTAGAGCAGCTGTTAAGGCGTGAAGGTATTTTGATGGTAATTGGGTCTTAGGTCCCACAAAAGCTGCTAATACTTTAGTTAAGATAAATGTTGACTAAGGGGTGCAAACAGGCACAGATCAGCCTGGTAAAAATGACGGTAGAAGCTGAAGGTGAGTGATTGGCTTTCAGTATTAGGGATTTTTTGTTTAACCCTGAGACTAGTGGTGCTCTATGTACATAACAAAGGGGACGAAAGCACTAAAAATGGAGATGAAGCAAAACCAAAACCCACTTTTTAGTAACTGAGCCTCTGAGCAAAATAATAGGAGACTGTATCATCTCTGCTATCGTCTTTGCAGGGATCCAAATGTTTTTCTTTGTGTCTCAGTGGAGGCTGGCATTGCAAGTATCGTAGTGTGATAGCTGTGAAGCAGGTAGATAGTCCCATTCAGGAATTGCCTTGGAGTAGGTAAAGGCTTATTCAGGTTTTGTTTGCCTGTGAAGGCTTATTGGTTAATTATGAGTTGCACTGTGGTGGTGAACTCCCATAGTTCTTCTGACCCTCAGTATCTAAACTCTGTGATTTCTGATGTTTTCCATTCATGACTAAAGGACCTGAGAGCTCTGTATCTTTTTGGAAGCTAATTTTGTCCCACAGAGGTAAGAGTTTGTCTGTTTTGTGCTGGTCATTTACCTTAAAAATGACACGTAGGCTCTCAGGAACGTGAATCCTGTTAGTCTACTGTAGTTATGAGCATCTTGAGGGAAGAATGGATTCCTTTCAGTCCCCCAAGGAAATATGCAGTGACGATTTATTGTAGTGCAATTATTTTATCCTCTCCCTAAAATGAGTTCCTTTTGGTTTCTGTATTACTTTCAGTAATTTTTGCACAGCCTGATAACAGTGCTTCTGTCTACCCCTGCCCTAAGCATAGGAGAGGGAAGGGGCAGGGAGCTTTGATTGCACATTAATAAATACAGTAGGCTTTTGTGTGTGTGTGTGCGCGTGAGAGAGAGATGGGGAAGGGCTACCCTGGGTACATGAAACTGCCAAAACTAGGATTTGTGACGTTGCTGACAGATGGAAAGATGCAAACCTGCACTTTAGAGTTTCTTTGGAGAAATCTCATTCTAACGGTGAAATGGCAGTAGGAAGTCTCTGAACTGAAGATGGAAAGAAAATCAGGTATTATCAGTCCATTTCCTACCTCTGCCGTGTGCAGGGTGACAGTGTGCTAGTCCTGTATCCCCTGGTGCCTCAACATCTTCCTGTAAAATGGGAGCTGTTTGATTTCCCACCTGTCAAGTTCTGATACTAAATTTTAGCATGTATGGAAAAATTGGGGACCCTCCAGGGTGAGAGCAAAGCATTCAACCCTGTGTGTCCCGCTGTGCTCTCCATGACTGTCAGTGGTGGCGTCCTGTGGTGCAGTCTAGAGCTGGAGCAGGGAAGAGGACTGCAGAAGTGTCTCCTCTCTCCCAGCTCGGCATCTCCTCATGACAACTGCGAAGGTATGGGCTGGATTGTAACAATTCTCCTCCCTACTTTGCTTTTGAAAACTTTTTTCTTTTTTTTCCCCTTCAAAATCTCATGTTTTCTCCTGTTGGACCAAAGTTTCGGTCACTCCTGCACCATGAATGTCCTGAGGGTGACAAGTAACTCGCTGCCCCGTGGCTGTGTGCAGCAGTGGCGCAGCACCCTGGTCTCAGCGGTCCCTGGGAGCTGATGTACCACAGCTGTCCTCAGACACTCCTGAACCCCAGCAGGGAGCCCACAGCCATTAGTTGTGTCCTTAACCTCCCTGCAGTGCTGGCGAGCCAAAGGCAGCTGCCTGTTTCCGCCTCCATGTTCCCAACTCAGACCAACCCAACTCTTCCCAGCTCAGAACTGGGGCCCTTTGCCTGGCTGGTGCCTGTGGTGCAAAAGTCAGTGTGATGGTGCCACGCTGCTGGGTTTGCTCTTTTAAGGGATGAAGTTCAAGGACAGATCAGGCTGCTGACAAGGCTGAGAGCAGCCAACCAGAAGTAACCTTCTGGCTTTGCTGATGAGACAAAATGGGGTTTGGTGACTTTTTAATAGTAGACAGGGTAGTCTTTTAATTAGTGTACTGTCAAATAAGGTGATAATTAAGGGAATGACTCTCCATATATAGTCTAGGATACGATTTGGTAACGTCCAGCAAGACTAATGTGTACGTTACGGTATACGTGTTCTGTATGTAGGTCTTTGGCACTATCGTTTTCAGGTAGATGGACTAAAAGTCATACTTTTCAAATACGGTTTTCTTTTTAGTGTTGGAGGCGATACAGTGACCAGAAAGTCATTTAAAAGTAATGGTTGCCACTAAGTTTAGGTTGTAGAAGACACAAGGTCCAAGGTAAATCTATGCTGTAGCAGCGCTCGTGGTTGAGCATTGTGCCCTTGCTGCTTGACCAGCAAGTCTGTGCCAGCTGCCTGGCTATTCTCTCGGGGTCCGGACTAGTGAGACCTGCCCTCTGGGCTGAGGTTTTGACTTGGATCTCCTCCCTCTGCTCTGCTGCGAAACCTGCAGAAACTTCACCTTCTCAAAACTGCCCTCTGCTCAGTCGGGCGTAGTTGGGCAACAGGCTCCTCCCTTACTGGCCGTAACAACAGACAGACAGATGGGCAGCTGTCGTGAGACGGGGATCTTGCTTTTAGCAAGCCAGGCTAAACCGTAATCAGGCCTGATCCTCTCCCTCTCTACAGTCCAACCCCAGCAGTGAAGAACCAGACGAACGGTCGTTGTCTTGATCATAAATAGCTGCGGCCGAACGACATCTGAACACTGGCTTTTCTTGCCACCGACAACAAAGCTGTGCGTGTGTCTTATATCTGGTTGTGTATGTGATGAAAAGCCATTTTATTATCCGGAATTTTTTTAGACTCTTGAGATTTCAAACAGGATTGGGTATGAGAACGGCCATGAGCTTCCTTTCCAAAAATACTCAAAGCCTGACTTCAAATATATATATGATTAGATATATATATAAGAATAATAATAAAAAAAAGAGCCAAATTGTCTATTTCTTCTTGCAGCTGGAGCTGAAATAGCTGCTAAGATTTCCCCTCCCCAGCTGAGAATTGGTACAGTTTGTTTTTCTTACGTATTTTCCATGGTGTTGATAATGATGTATTTGTATATTGTGACTGATGAGAGATAATCAGACAGG